ATAGACCTTCTGGGGTGCATGTTCCCTTACCCTTTTGAAATTGTGAAATAGGATTCTACACTTTTTAAAAAGAGAATGCTGGCTACTGCAAAAGAATCTTGGTACAGATTTGGCTAATGTGACAGAATGAAGTGAAATTATGACAGTCTTTGTTGTGAAAAGTGTTTCAGTATGTTGGTGGGAATTAGGCTTCTGTTCTTTTTCATGAGTTTTCTTCCTCCACTTTACCTCCCAAGCAGCACCTTTGGGAGACAGGGTATGTCTGGAGTGGGGAGGGGGTGGGGGACACAGGAGGACAAAGGCAGTAACAGACCATTTGCAAACTGGATTGCTAATTTCTCATCAGACAGAATGAGCACAGGTCTGGAGTGACTAACTATAGGTAAGACTGACCTGAAATTTTCAAGAGGAATTTTGAGAGCTTAAAAAGTTGGCCATACTTCTGTGTATTTAAGTTAGATATGCACACTAATCTGTATAGACCTATATCTTTCAGTTTAGGAGCTAACTCCAGAATTTGTAATCTAAAGTAAACCATACAAGGGGCACCTGGGTGGCTCAGTCAGTTAAGCGTCTGATTCTGGATTTTGGCTCAGGTCATGATCTCATAGTTAATGGGTTCAAGCCCTGTGTCCGGCTCTGTGCTGTGTCAGCACGGAGCCTGCTTGGAATTCTCTCTCTCTGTCTCTCTACCCCTCCCCCAACTTGTACGTGCTCTCTCTCTCTCTCTCTTTCAAAATAAATAAATTAAAAAAAAACCCCATGTAACAGAAGCGGGTGCTTTGTGACCTCATCATATCTTCTTATATACTTTTTATGAGCACATAGCTATTAATAGTAAGAGTGTAGTCAAGAGACCAAAATTCTTTTCTTTGCTTCATCATCTTGTCATGTCATTTCTTCTTATCTTTGTTCACCTATTTTCAAAACTCTTCTCACTTCAGTTTCACTTTAGGCATGTAGTCAGAATGAAAGATCAGATGTCCAAAGCACTATGCTTGAAAACTGTGTGTTGTTTTGGTGCCTGGTTAAATAATATGGGGCTTATTTTCTGGCAGAGTTGTGTAAGTCTCCTTTGATGTTAGCCAGAACTGGGTGGAGTTTCTTAAGCTCCAGTCAGATTTGCTCAAGCAGGGCCCTATGCAGTGATGAGTTTGTTTTTAGTCTCTTCCTTTGCCAAAAAACTTTTGCCTTTTAATAAACCTGAACCCAGTTATAATTGGGAGTACTTGGTATATAAAAGTCACACATGCACATTGAGGGTCTATATGCAATTTGTTTGTTTATTTCTAACTTAAGTGATGAATCTAAATTATTAGCACCTTGGGGCGCCTAGGTAGCCCAGTCGGTTAAGTGTCCGACTTTGGTTCAGGTCATGATCTTGCAGACTGTGGGTTCGAGCCCCGCATCAGGCTTTGTGCCGACAGCTCAGAGCCTGGAGCCTGCTTTGGATTCTGTGTCTCCTTCTCTCTCCACCCCTCCCCCCACCCATGCTCTGTCTGTCTGTGTCTCTCTCTCTCTCTCTAAAATAAACATTAAAAAAAAATAAAAAGATTTTAAATTATTAACAGCTTCTGGAATAATCAACCTCAGGAATCATTTAACATACCACTCTCATTTTACAGATTAGGGAACTCAGCCCTGTAAGGTGACTCACTGAAAGCTATAGATTAAACTAGTGCTTCCGTGAAGTTTAGACACTTCTGTATCCAGCTTTCTTTTCTTGCCCCCAGTAACAAATCCTTTTAAATTCAAATTTTGTACAAATAGGAAAGGAATAGTATAAATATTCAAGGAGAGATAATTTCTTTTAAGTACATAGTTCTCATTCACAAGAGTACATTTTTGGAACTTCCTGAATATCCATATTTGAGAATAACATTGTGTCATATCCTTTTGTCCATAAATTACATAACTAACCATTTTAAGGCATAACTGAGTATTAAGTGACCTTAAATGATTCTGTAAGTGTGGGATGAAGTTCTTTCGTGAATTCATTAAAATCAATTCTGGAATACTTGTAGAACCAGTTTAGCAAACCTGTAGAACACTTACAGAATTTATTATACTTGTATATTTTTTAGAATGGAATAACGATAAAATTGGGCAGTCTCTTTAATTTAATGAACACTGGGCTTTCTGGATAAAACCAGTACTTTCACTTCCAACACAACACCGGTATTGCCTTTACAGGATCATTTTCCATAAGTAGGGGTGTGTGTGTGTGTGTGTGTGTGTGTGTGTGTGTGTATGTGTGTGTGTGTGTGTGTGTGTGTGTCTGTGTGTTTAAATCACACTTCTATTTATATGTAGTGACAAGAAAGGAATAGCTAAACTGTGTTGAGATACAGATGCTTGGGTGGTTGGCTAGATACATTCAGAGCCAAATGACCTTCCTGCTTTCCAGCTGTCTCATTTTCTGTCAGTTTTACCTTCTTAGGCTGAATTTAAGCTGCTCTTTGTATTCCATGAACCGCATGTCAGCCCAGGTAGTAGTTTGGGAGGTTGAGGGTGGGGGTGAACAGGGGAACATTACAGTGGATAAAGAGCTGCCCTTTGAGAATATGCACTCAGATAAATGACATTTAAAAGATACTGTTGATTTTGTCTCTATTTTTACCTGTGTCCTGAGTTAGGAAGTTTGAGTGGATTATATGAAAAAGGTATCATATGTGTATATTATGGAAACAAATAAAGCTACTGTTAAGGATGGTACAGATGTCCTTTCAAGTGCTGTTTGACCATGAAACTGTTTAATTACAGACGTCCTTTATTATTTTTGGTTCATAATAGGTTTCAAATGCTAACTGGTAATAATAGTCATCATAGAAAAGGGAAAAACATTTACTTTTTATGGAATTTATTGACATTAAATTTGTCAGGCTTTTTAAAAGTTCTTTAATGAGTCATTTTTCTGCATTTTTCCTGGTGGCATCTGGAGTGACAATAATACTTTATATGTAAAGTAGCTGGGTGGCATAGAGAGTAGGACTGCCCATCCATGTTCCTGTGTTGTAAATGGGTTATATGGGCTCTACTCCCTACTGATGACTATGATAGGAACTTGTGTGTAGAACACAAAGATGAAGATAGAATGACTGTACTTTTGGTGGGTGTTTCTTTTTCCTTAGTAAATTTAGTTGGAGAGAGGAAGACAGTGGAGGACAGACAGTTTTAAAAGAGAGTCTTTAACAGTGGCTTAAATCGGGGTGCCTGGGTGGCTCAGTCAGTTAAGTGTCCAACTTCGGCTCAGGTCATGATCTCACAGTTTGTGAGTTTGAGCCCCGCATCAGGCTTTGTCCTGACAGCTCAGCGCCTGGAGCCTGCTTTGGATTCTGTGTCTCCCTCTCTCTCTGCCTCTACCCCGCTCACTATCTGTCTTTCTCTTGTCTCTCAAAAATGAATAAACGGGGGAAAAAAAGTGGCTTAAATCATAGTAAAATTTGGCCTTTTAAAATTTGGGTTGAGGAAAGACTATATATATATATTAGTTGAGATTCTTTGGTTGCAAGCGATAGACTGACTAAATTAGATGAAAAAAAAATTGGAAGGTTGCTCACTCAGACTTAAGAAAGAAGACAACCAGGGCAACTGAACAGCTGCCACTTGGTGAATCTTCCATCCAGGATGTAGTCGTGAAACATTCCTTTTACAACCATCCTCTGCCTGGTCATGTGCCCAACACCACTAGGGTGACCATTGGTGTATATGGGGGAAGATAAGGAAGAATAGATTTCTGGGCAGACAGAAGCAATAGCTATTATTTCTATTTGATTTACCTTTACCTGGTCACAAAAGCTCATATGTTCATTTATCTTCATGAGTCTCTTGGAGAGTCTGTTAAGTTAGACTTTTTTTTTTAAATGTTTATTTATTTTTGAGAGAGAGAGAAAGAGAAAGAAAGAAAACAGAGTTGGGGGGAGGACAGAGAGAGAAGGAGACATAGAATCCAAAGCAGGCTCCAGGCTCCGATATGTCAGCACAGAGCCTGATGTGGGGCTTGAATTGACGTGGGGCTTGAATTCACAAACCGTGAGATCATGACCTGAGCTGAAGTCCAACACTTAACCAATTGAGCCACCCAGGCACCCCAAAGTTAGACTTTTTGAAGGACAGATAGTACCCTGCACATTTTTTTTTAATTTCCCACTGTGCTGTGTATGTACTAGGAACTCCATTTATTTGCAGGCCCTTTGGCACTTTTACTACACCATTTGTATTTTTTCAGCTCTTCACCTAACAATTTTGCCTTTAGTAGGTTATACTTCTTAACGTCAGGTTACGTTTAAAAATTGAGAGCCTGATGTTCTGTAAAGGTGGTGATGTACATGGCCACAAAGAGGGACTGCGCCCCTAACTAATCAGGGAACAGGTCTGTATTTTTATGCCAGCAGGGCTAGGCATGGTTTTGGTGGATGGAGCTAGCCTAGCTACAAGAGATTCATGAAGAAACAGTATTTAACCTCAACAAGATAGGGCCCATACTCACAGTCTTTAGTCAGGAGAGGTGACTTCTTTTGCCTGATAGTAATATAACTTTTTTCATGGGAATATAATGTAATCTGACCTCCTTTTGTATGTTCATTTAAGAATTATTCTGGGACATGATTTGGAAATGAAGATATATAGAATAATTAAAAAGTTTATGAGACTTGAAATCAAAAGACCTGATTTGAACTTTGGATACATTGGTGCTTTTTGTTTGTTTTTTTACACTTTATTTTTTCTTATTAATGAAAAGGACAAAATGGCACTTGGCTCTACCTCCCAGCTATGTGAAAAGAGGGTGTTTACTTTGGGTAAGACTGTTGGTTAACTGAGCTTTAATTTTCTAATCTGTCAAATGAGGGAGTCTCTTTTAGCTCTAACATTTTGGATTTTAACTCTTTTTTTTGTTTAGAACAACTGAGAAGAGTTTCTAGGGATGTTTTTTCCTTTGCACAGTGCTCATCTGATGAAACATTTTTCCCTCCTTTACCAGGCAGTTGCAGTGGTGCAGAATGGCTGACCTCAGTCTTGCAGATGCATTGACAGACCCACCTCCAGAAATTGAGGAAGAGATAAAACGGGACTTCATTGCCACACTGGAGGCAGAGGCCTTTGATGATGTTGTGGGAGAAACTGTTGGAAAAACAGACTATATTCCTCTACTGGATGTTGATGAGAAAACCGGCAATTCGGAGTCGAAGAAGAAACCATGCTCAGATACTAGCCAGGTTGAAGGTAAGTAATTAAACCAAGCTGCTCAGAAAGCAGATTAGGGATGACGCTGTAGGTCATAATCTTAGAAACCTTGAGGAAACTGAGCTGACTTTTTTAGTATAGTCACTTTTCTCCTTATCTAAATTTCTTTCATTAGAAACCAAAGATGTAGGTTCGTTACCTTTTAGTTGAGTGTGTGTTCATGAGACTGTAGATTACTTTTTTTTCATTTAAAAAAAAAATTTTTTTTAACGTTTATTTTATTTTTGAGACAGGGAGAGACAGCATGAACAGGGGAGGGTCAGAGAGAGAGGGAGACACAGAATCTGAAACAGGCTCCAGGCTCTGAGCTGTCAGCACAGAGCCCGACGCGGGGCTCGACCTCGCAGACCACGAGATCATGACCTGAGCTGAAGTCAGATGCTTAACTGACTGAGCCACCCAGGTGCCCCGACTGTAGATTACTCTTAACCCAAAGGTTTCTTCTGTAAGGTCTCAGCTACTGTATAATCTGCCTACTTTCCTGAATTAAATGGTCTGCTGTGCCTTGACTTTGAAAGTAGCTTTGTAAAAAGTCAGATAAACAAAATTCTGTATTTACATCAAGACTAAATTTAGAATGGAATCAAATACCACTTGTCTTTGGGTGTAATGCCAGGTAAGGATTAAACCATGGATTAAATCTTTTAAAAAGAGGTTTGCTGCTTTTATATATTGCTGGATCAGATTTGCTACTATCTGGTTGAGATTTGTTTGTTTGTTTGTTTTGTTTTTTGAGAGAGAGAGGCAGGGAGAGGGAGAGGGAGAATCCCAAGCAGGCTTCGTGTTGTTAGCATGGAACCTGACGTGTGGCTTGATCTCATGAACTGAACTGTGAGATCATGACATGAGCCCAAATCAAGGGTCGCACGTTTAACCAACTGAGCCACCCAGGTACCCTTTGGTTGAGGAGTTTTGCATTATTGTTCATGTGGGATATTGGTCTGTAGTTTTTTTGTGATGCCTTTTTCTGATTTTAGAATTGAGTTCATTCTAGCATCATAAAATGAGTTGGGAAATGTTCCCTCCTGTTTTCTAGAGTTGTTCATGTAGAATTGATGTTTTTGTCTTTAATGTTGGATAGACTTGGTCAGTGAAGCCATCTGGACCTGGAGTTTTCTGGGTCAGGTTTTTGTTTTTGTTTTTTTTTTTAATTAGGAATTCAATTTCTTTAAGAGATCTAGAACTGTTCAGGTTATCTGTTTCTTCTCAAGCCAGCTTTGGTAGGTTGTATCTTTCAGGGAATTGGTACATTTCCTCTAAGTTGTCAGATTGTTGGAGATAGAATTGTACTATTACCTGATTCTCCTAATTTCGGTAGGATCTGTTGTCATACCCCTTCTTTCATTCATTATATTGGTAATTTGTGTCCTCTCTCTCTCTTTTTTTTTTTTTTAATTGAGTCCGGTTAGAGGTTTATCAATTACTAATGTTTTTAAAGATGTAGCTTTTGGTGTTGTAGATTTTTTTTTCTATTTTTCTATTTTCAATTTCTGCTCATATCTCTAATATTTCCTTCCTTTTGCTTACTTTGAGTTGATTTGCTCATTTCCTGTTTTTTTTTTTTAATTTTTTTTAAATGTTTTTATTTATTTTTGAGACAGAGACAGCAATGAGCAGGGGAGGGTCAGAGAGAGGGAGACACAGAATCTGAAGCAGGCTCCAGGCTCCGAGCTGTTAGCACAGAGCCTGACATGGGGCTCGAACTCATGGACTGTGAGATCATGACCTGAGCTGAAGTTGGACGGACGCTTAACCGACTGAGCCACCCAGGTGCCCCTCATTTTCTGTTTTTTTAAGGTGGCAGCTTAGATCATTAATTTTAAACATTTCTTTTCATATTGACACAAAATATTATATTTAAGGTGTACAACATAATGATTTACTATTTGTGTATATTGTGAGATAACTACCACAATACGTCTAATTAACATTCATCACCATACATAATTAACAATTTTTTTTCCTTGTGATGAGAACTTTTAAGATCCACTCTCATAGGAATGTTCAAATATACAGTACAGTATTATTAACTGTAGTTATTACCATGCTGTACATTATGTTCCCAGGACTTTCTTATTTTGTAACTAGAAGTTTGTACCTTTTATCTACCTTCACCCATTTTGCTCACCTCCACCTCCACCTCTGGCAACCACTTAAAATAAGCTTTTGAATGTTACAAATTTCCCTCTAATCATGGTTTTATATGTGCCTCATAGATTTTGGTGTGTTATTTATATTTATTTTTGAGAGAGAGAGAGAGAGAGAGAGAGAGAGAGAGCGAGCGCGCGTGCGCGCGTAGGACAGGGGCAGGGAGAGAGAGGGAGACACAGAATCCAAAGCAGGCTCCAAGCTCAGAGCTGTCAGTGCAGAGCCCGACACGGGGCTTGAACTCACTTAACCATGAGATCATGACTTGAGTCGAAGTCAGACGCTTAACCAACTGAACCATCCAGGTGCCTCTGGTGTGTTCTGTTTTTAATTTTTATTCATTTCAAAATATTTTCAGGGTACCTGCCTGGCGCAGTCATTTGAGTGTCCAACTCTTGATATCTGCTCAGGTCATGATCCCAGGGTCATGGGATCAAGCCCTGCATCGGACTCTGCTCTGTGCTGAGCATGGAGCCTGGTTGAGGTTCTCTCCCTCTGCTCCTCTTCCCTGTGTTCTCTCTCTCTCTCTCTCTCTCTCTCT